ATTCTTGTATTTATACGATTTTAAGAGGCCTATTATCATACGGAGTATATACATTATACACTGTTGAAATTCGTCTGTATATTGAGTATTGATGCTACTTAGATCTCAACATGCTTGTTATGCGCGGCTTGTTAGGCCAGGGTTACGAAATAGACAAAACTGTACTTATTTAGAGGCTTTCAAATTTCGGAAAAATTGCATCATTTGGGTGGGAAGGTGAATACTCCGAGAAATAAAATTAAGCTTTTCTCCGGCGTCGGTAATTCAGGTGACGACAGCCCTATTATAATCTCATTTTCTCGTTCCCAAAGCAAATTGCCGGCTAGGACAAACTGAGAAGTCTGCGGTAGCTGAACATGCACTAAGCAATGGAGACCACAGGATACACTTTTGGAGCTGCAGGTTACTGTCATCAGTCAACGGCTATCACAATAGACTGGTCAGGGAAGCTATCGAGATTCACAAACATCCAGATAACTGCAACAGGAAGGAAGAGACCCTCAGACTCAACCCGATCTGGCACCCGATCCTCAGAAACGCCCGGGCAGTGCCGATCGACATCACCAAGTCAACCAAAGCGGAACAAGCCACGTCACCTAACCTCCGGTATAAATACAACCTGCGCAAGAGGAATCGCCCGTGTACATCCAGCATCGGAAATGGAAGGACCTCTGAAGAAGCTTGCCACTCGTGCTAGCGAATCAAGACAGCAGTTTATCAACTGGCCGCGAAAGCCTTAACCAATTTATTAGGAACATTTTTTGACAGTAAGTTGTCGTTTATCAAACATATTGATAACGTATGCAACTACCTGAACAAAGCATATTATACCTGTTGGAGCTTAAAGACAAGGGCTTGCTCATGGTTCCCACACTTTCTTTTGTTTACCATATATTCTCAGATGTGCTACATTTGTAAGAGGAAATGATAATCTATTTCTTGACCTGACACAAAATCATCAATATAACACAGGAAACGTCAACATTAGACTCGCACAGAGGCTTTCTACCTCATACTTCAAAATGTCTCCTTTCTATATAGATATATATATATCCTTTAATTTATTTGGGTAGATGGCAAATTATTGCAAAGGTACACTCTAATAACTTAAACTCTCAAGCTTTCGAAGATCTATGTCTTCATCGTCTGGAGCTGGAAACAATTAAGGAGAAAAACGACGAATTGTTTCCAGCTCCAGACGATGGAGACATAGATCTTCGAAAGCTTGAGAGTTTAAGTTGTAAGTGTGTACTTTTGCAATCCTTTGCCTTCTACCCAAAGAAATTAAAGGATATCTCCTCCTAACAGTTAAGGCAATTAACTATGAATACTATATATATATATATATATATATATATATATATATATATATACTAAGTGACATATAAATCCGAACACCCAGTTTAAATGGTTTTATTTTAATAAAAGTTGGTGAATGTATTTATCTTACTGTAAATAACAAGTGAAAAAATGTTCAGCCTTATCAGTTGGACATTCCGGTTTTTATAGTGTTTTTTTTTAATTCACTAATGCTCTAAAAATGAATATTTCAGCCGCCGTAAGGAATCAACGTTGGCGGATTTTGGTTCTTGACATCCTTTACGATCGGTTACGATGCCTAGAGTACGGAGACCTGTACGATTTCGTCAACTTAGTGAGTTTGATAGGGGCCGTATAGTGGGACTTCGGGAAGCTGGACTTTCTTTTCGGGCAATTGCAGTTAGAGTGCAAAGAAGTGTAGACACTGTGGTTAGGTGTTGTCAGGCATGGCTTCGAGAAGGCCGTACGCAAAGAGCAAGGGGCACTGGACGCCGCCGTAGAACAACAGACCGTGAAGATCGCCGCCTAAGATTATTGGCCTTAAGGGACCGTTTCTCCACTACCAGGTCCATTGCAAATGAATGGTTTACAGAACACGGAAGACCTATTGGCATGCGAAGTGTTTACCGACGAATGAGAAGTTTCGGCTTGTTTTCATACCGGCCACACTGGGTCCTCCCTTTAACTCGAGAACACCGACGTAATCGCCTTGAGTGGTGCAGACAACGGTCACTCTGGGATCAGGAATGGAACAGTATTGTCTTTAGTGACGAGTCTCGATTTTGTTTAAGCATGCACGATGGTCGTGCCAGGGTTAGAAGGCGACGTGGTGAAAGGAGGAATCCGCAGTTTTTTGTTGAAAGACATGTTCATCACACTGTTGGAGTTATGGTTTGGGGTGCTATAGCTTATGGTTCCAGGTCACCTTTAATCTTCATCAGAGGTAACATGAACGCGCAGCGTTATATCCACGAAGTTCTAGAACCCCATCTTTTACCCTATCTTGACACCCTGGCAGATCCAACTTTCCAACAAGATAATGCCCAACCACATATTGCAAGAGTCACAATAGACTTCTTTCAACATAATGATGTCACATTGTTACCATGGCCACCAAGATCTCCCGACTTATCCCCAATTGAGCACGTGTGGGATATGATGGGTAGGAGATTGCTCAATTTGCAACGTCCTCCTCAGACTCTAGAAGCACTTCGAGAGGAGTTGGTGGTTGCCTGGAATGAGATACCACAGGAGTACATTGACCACCTGATCAGAATCATGCCTAGGCGCGTTGGAGAATGCGTAGCACATCAGGGTGCATCCACACATTATTAAAGGTCAAAGGGCTTTAAAGCAGTGCAATCATTTTGAAATTTTTATCATTTACTTATTATGCTTCATTAAGTACTTATACAAAATTTTATTAAAATAAAACCATTTGAACTGGGTGTTCGGATTTATATGTCATTTAGTATAGTTTTTGGGCCATTTAAGTTCCATAATTAATAAAAAATACAAAAGATGTAAAAAATCTGAATTTGAACGTGAATCTATTAAAATTGCTCCAAAAAATGTATCCGGTGGCAAAAAGATCTTCAAAGTGAGCAAATTTTTCTTTTGCTATTTTAGGCCATAAACCTTTTCAAAATTATCATAGCGAAGAATTCTTGTAGATTTTTTTTCCATTGATTGCAGAAGTATGCAATAGTACTAAAGAACAAAAATACATACTATCTAGAAAAGAAAACATAGCTCAACAAATTTCTGTTTTACTTAGGCATTATTTTCAAGTAAACTTTTCTTTCCGTATTTAACCATACCTAAAGTTGATTTGATAGTATACTTAACTGAAGATTAAGGTAAACAGTTTTTTTTACACGCTGTGTTATTTAAATAATATTTATATTCATCAATCATTTTGAAATTTTTATCATTTACTTATTATGCTTCATTAAGTACTTATACAAAATTTTATTAAAATAAAACTATTTAAACTGGGTATTCGGATTTATATGTCACTTAGTATACAAGTAGTACAAGTATATCAAATATTTAGATCAGTGGTCGCCAACCCGGCTAGCTACCGGTAGTTCGCAAAGGAAATTCTGGTGGCTAACACAACATGTTTTAAAAAGGTGTAAAAATCATTGAAGGTTCCGTAGATTTTGTAAATTCTCATAATAAACACAAGCAGCAGCAACACTGCGGTTAGCGATCTGTTCGAGAACGATCTCGATTACGCTGTACTGCTGTACTTTAGATCCATTTTAGCCTGTTTTTTCCAATTGAAAGCATGCTTAGAGCCTACATTGGATTTGTACCTATATCTATAAATGTCAGGGCTCTCCTCCATGATTGCGACGCGCAATGTGCCTGCTACTGGTAGCTCGCAAAATTCTGATACGTAAAACGTATTTTAAAAAGGTGTAAAAATCATAGGCTTCCGTAAGTTTTGTAAATTCTCATAATAGACACAAGCAGCGGCAACATTGCGGTGAACGATCTGATCGAGAACGATCTCGATTAAAACTTGGAACGGAATAAATACGCAAGGCGCGGCGACAGTGCAAAAACATTATGAGCAGTAGTAAGAAGATTAAGTCACACCATTTCCATTTGGAATGGGAAGAACAATATTTCTTTACAGAAGTTAAAGGTAAAAATGTATGTTTGTTATGTAGTACATCAGTCTGTTTCCGTTGCTAAAAAGAGAATATCGATAGGCACTATAAACTGTACATTCGAATTTTGAAAAATCTTTCCCATTACGTTCTGCAACCAGAACGGAAAAACTGAAACAATTAAAAAATCAGTTAGTTGGACAACAGACAATGTTTTTAAAAACAATCGACCAAAGTAAGGCTGCAACTGAAGCATCATACCGGGTGTCCCAGATAATTACACAAAGGAGGAAACATTATGAAGATGGTGAAATGATAAAACAGACGTTTTTAGAAGCTGCAGATTCATTATTTGCCAGATAGTGCGAGATAGTGTCTGCTATAAAATCTATGCAACTTTCTCCTAATACAGTGATTAGACGAGTAGAAGTAATGAGCAATGATATAGTTTTACAGTTAAGCAATGACTTCGATAACTATGCTCATTTTTCGCTGCAGCTGGATGAAGCCAAAGATGTCGTTGACACCTCACCTCTCAGATAGCCGTGTTCGTCAGGATGGTTTTTAGTGATTTTACGGTTAAAGATCTTTTGAAATTTATTACATTAAAAGGACAGACTACTGGGCAGGACTTGTTTTCTTCTTTTAAAGATATTATTTCTTCTGAGAAAATTCCAATATCGAAAATGGTAGGCTTATGTTGTAAAGTTGAAAGTTTTCCGCAGATTGTCTGTTACGACTGCATTATCCATCAGCAAGCATTATGTGGACATTTTCTTAAACTAAGCAACATAATGTAATTGGTAGCAAAAATTGTGAACATGATTAGAGCCCAAGCGCTACAAAGAAAATTATTCAAAACCTTGGCCGATCAAATTGACTGTCAATACGGGGATGGAGAGGTCAAAAGAGCACAAAGGGAAAGAGATGTACAATACCATATTTTCAAATTTACCAACCTGAGGGATGACTTCGGAAAATATAAAGAAAAACGTAACAAAGTTGTGGCTCTTATACGATCAAAACAAAAGAGCAGTATTATGAAGAAGAGATTGACAGATGCAAAGGAGATTACAAACAAATGTGGAGAACGTTGAAAGATCTCGTTAATAACAAACATGTGCACATTGATTATATGTCTTTAGAAATTAATGACTGTGACACTGTAGAGAATAAATTGAACAATTATTTTATCAAGAGTGTAACCGATATAGTAAGCACCATACCTTCAAGTAAAGAGGAAGCTATAACGGCAGCAGTACCACTTACATGCAGTTTGGTGAAGCAATTGTTTGATGTAATTGGCTACCCCCTTTTCAATATTGTAAATACATCGCTCAGTACAGGAAAGACGCCTTCGTTGTTGAAGAGGAGTATTATAGTCCCAGTGCCCAAAACAAACAATCCACGTAAGCTAGAAGACTTGCGACCCATCAATCTTATGCCAGTCGTCGAGAAAGTTATAGAAATAACAGTGCATGAACAGCTGAGTGAGCATCTACGTGTGAACGATGTTCTTTTTGAGAGGCAATCCGGCTTAGAAGAAATCATTCTTGTGAAACTGCATGCCAATTTGTATGTACAAAGTGGAAAAAAGATGTAGATGATGGTAAAGTGATTGTGTGTGTGTGTGTGTCTGTTGACCTAAAAAGAACGTTTGAAACTATTGACAGGAAATTGTTGTTGAGAAAATGTGAAATGTATGGAATTAAGGGTACAGCCCTCTTGTGGGTGGGTGATAATTCATCTGAGCGGTTACAAGTGGTAAAAATTGAAACTAAAATATCAAGTAATGTTTCTGTTGATCATGGAGTACCTCAAGGCAGTGTACTAGGCCCATTACTGTTTATTCTATATGTCAATGATATGTCGAATGTCCTTAGCAATTCTTTTATAAATTTCTTTGCGGATGATACATTAATTTCAGTTAGTGATTCAGTAAGTAACGAAATTGTAGATGTAATGAATATTGAAACGAGCAAACTTAGTTATGGTTAAAAACAAACAAGATTAAATTAAATATGAGAAAAACGAAATGAATGATTATAGGTTCGAAGAATAATTGCAAGAAATTGGTGGATTGGAGGTTCTTGATTTTGTGATAGTGTTAAGTATTTAGGCATTATGATAGATCAGCAACTAACTTTCAACAAACATGTTGACCTTATGTGTCGGAAATTAGGCAAAAAGATAGGGTATTTTCGCAGAATTTGTGAGAATCTAAGTGCCTGGTGCAGAAGGGTAGTCTACAATACAATAATTTTTCCTCATTTTACTTATTGTGCATCATTTTTGATTACATACACAAATGAGCAAAAGCAAAGGTTGCAAATTCTATTAAATAAATGTATGCGGATTTTGTTAAATTGTAGCAGGTATACCCATACAGGATATGCTAAAGGCATTAAATTTTTTAAACATATACCAAATTATTCAAGAGACAAATTTAATTCTTTTATATAAAATTATGAATAATCAGGCTCCACCTTACCTTGAACAGTTTCTAAAACAAAGATGTGAAATGCAAGGTTACGACATTAGATCAAAAGAAAATTTTCATATACAAAGATATACTATAGATTGAAAGGTTTAGAAAAGTCAATGTTTGTTGACGGTCGAAAAATGTACAACAATCTGCCTATTAATGTAAAAACATCTAGTAGTGCTAAAATTTTCAAAAAGAGACTATTTTGGTTTGATGTGACCTCTTTGTAAATTTAGCATATTTTTGTAAATATACTAAGTGACATATAAATCCGAACACCCAGTTTAAATGGTTTTATTTTAATAAAAGTTGGTGAATGTATTTATCTTACTGTAAATAACAAGTGAAAAAATTTTCAGCCTTATCAGTTGGACATTCCGGTTTTTATACTGCTTTTTTTTAATTCACTAACGCTCTAAAAATGAATATTTCAGTCGCAGTAAAGAATCATCGTTGGCGGATTTTGGTTCTTGACATCCTTTACGATCGGTTACGATGCCTAGAGTACGGAGACCTGTACGATTTCGTCAACGTAGTGAGTTTGATAGGGGCCGTATAGTGGGACTTCGGGAAGCTGGACTTTCTTTTCGGGCAATTGCAGTGAGAGTGCAAAGAAGTGTAGACACTGTGGTTAGGTGTTGTCAGGCATGGCTTCGAGAAGGCCGTACGCAAAGAGCAAGGGGCACTGGACGCCGCCGTAGAACAACAGACCGTGAAGATCGCCGCCTAAGATTATTAGCCTTAAGGGACCGTTTCTCCACTACCAGGTCCATTGCAAATGAATGGTTTGCAGAACACGGAAGAACTATTGGCATGCGAAGTGTTTACCGACGAATGAGAAGTTTTGGCTTGTTTTCATACCGGCCACACTGGGTCCTCCCTTTAACTCGAGAACCCCGACGTAATCGCCTGAGTGGTGCAGACAACGGTCACTCTGGGATCAGGAATAGAACAGTATTGTCTTTAGTGACGAGTCTCGATTTTGTTTAGGCATGCATGATGGTCGTGCCAGGGTTAGAAGGCGACGTGGTCAAAGGAGGAATCCACAGTTTTTTGTTGAAAGACATGTTCATCACACTGTTGGAGTTATGGTTTGGGGTGCTATTGCTTATGGTTCCAGGTCACCTTTAATCTTCATCAGAGGTAACATGAACGCGCAGCGTTATATCCACGAAGTTCTAGAACCCCATCTTTTAGCCTATCTTGACACCCTGGCAGATCCAACGTTCCAACAAGATAATGCCCGACCACATGTTGCAAGAGTCACAATAGACTTCTTTCAACATAATGATGTCACATTGTTACCATGGCCACCAAGATCTCCCGACTTATCCCCAATTGAGCACGTGTGGGATATGATGGGTAGGAGATTGCTCAATTTGCAACGTCCTCCTCAGACTCTAGAAGCACTTCGAGAGGAGTTGGTGGTTGCCTGGAATGAGATACCACAGGAGGACATTGACCACCTGATCAGAAGCATGCCTAGGCGCGTTGGAGAATGCGTAGCACATCAGGGTGCATCCACACATTATTAAAGGTCAAAGGGCTTTAAAGCAGTGCAATCATTTTGAAATTTTTATCAGTTACTTATTATGCTTCATTAAGTACTTATACAAAATTTTATTAAAATAAAACCATTTAAACTGGGTGTTCGGATATATATGTCAGTATAATATTTATTATTGTTTGAAGTAGCTTAAGGCTAAATATAATCCTTTCTATTCGTCCTATTCTAAGTACTTCTTCACTGTGAAGTCCGATGGTTAAGTAGGGGACGAGTGCTGAAACGTTTCAATAATATCATATCTGCCATAGTTGAATTTTTCAAACAACGTGATGAACCGATTCCGAAACTGGAAAATTCAATCTGGCTTAGAGATTTTGGTTTTTGTTGTGAATATTACAGAAAAATTAAATAAACTTAATTTGCAGCTGCAGGGGGAATACAAAGAACTAGCAGAAATGATTTCTGATATAAAAGCGTTTATCAAAAAGCTTGAGCTTTGGGAAACAAACTTAATCGATGGCGATACCAGGCATTTCCTTTTCTTTCAGAAAAGTTATCGCAAAGTCCATTAGAACCATATGACAGTAAATATCATGTAGGAATAGTCTCTAACTTGGAGGATAACTTCAAAAATCGTTTCAAGGATTTCAACGAAATTGCTATAGTGGCGGAATTTGTTGTTGCACCCTTCGTGGAAATTGATATCCAGCAGTTTGCAACTTCTGTTACCCAGAATTTTACCGAAGACATCGCTCGCTGCGACAGAATTGGAACCGTTTTCGTTTCAAAATGATTTAGCTTTAAAATCATTAGTCTCAAATACAAAATGTATCGGGCTTTCAGTAATCTATTTACAGATTAACATTTGGATAATTGTATTAGAATGGTGGTATAAAACACCTAATTGGTAGGAATGGATGTAGTTATATAGTATGTATTAGTTATTAGTTTATTTAAGCTTATTAGTATGTTTTAGTATTAGTAAAATAAACACATGTATGTCACATACAACTGTATATATACTAAGTATCATATAAATCCGAACACCCAGTTTAAATGGTTTAATTTTAATAAAAGTTGGTGAATGTATTTATGTTACTGTAAATAACAAGTGAAAAAATTTTCAGTTGGACATTCCGGTTTTTATACTGCTTTTTTTTTATTCACTAACGCTCTAAAAATGAATATTTCAGCCACAGTAAAGAATCAACGTTGGCGGATTTTGGTTCTTGACATCCTTTACGATCGGTTACGATGCCTAGAGTACGGAGACCTGTACGATTTCGTCAACTTAGTGAGTTTGATAGGGGCCGTATAGTGGGACTTCGGGAAGCTGGACTTTCTTTTCGGGCAATTGCAGTTAGAGTGCAAAGAAGTGTAGACACTGTGGTTAGGTGTTGTCAGGCATGGCTTCGAGAAGGCCGTACGCAAAGAGCAAGGGGCACTGGACGCCGCCGTAGAACAACAGACCCTGAAGATCGCCGCCTAAGATTATTGGCCTTAAGGGACCGTTTCTCCACTACCAGGTCCATTGCAAATGAATGGCTTGCAGAACACGGAAGACCCATTGGCATGCGAAGTGTTTACCGACGAATGAGAAGTTTTGGCTTGTTTTCATACCGGGCACACTGGGTCCTCCCTTTAACTCGAGAACACCGACGTAATCGCCTTGAGTGGTGCAGACAACGGTCACTCTGGGATCAGGAATGGAACAGTATTGTCTTTAGTGACGAGTCTCGATTTTGTTTAGGCATGCACGATGGTCGTGCCAGGGTTAGAAGGCGACGTGGTGAAAGGAGGAATCCACAGTTTTTTGTTGAAAGACATGTTCATCACACTGTTGGAGTTATGGTTTGGGGTGCTATAGCTTATGGTTCCAGGTCATCTTTAATCTTCATCAGAGGTAACATGAACGCGCAGCGTTATATCCACGAAATTCTAGAACCCCATCTTTCACCCTATCTTGACACCCTGGCAGATCCAACTTTCCAACAAGATAATGCCCGACCACATGTTGCAAGAGCCACAATAGACTTCTTTCAACATAATGATGTCACATTGTTACCATGGCCACCAAGATCTCCCGACTTATCCCCAATTGAGCACGTGTGGGATATGATGGGTAGGAGATTGCTCAATTTGCAACGTCCTCCTCAGACTCTAGAAGCACTTCGAGAGGAGTTGGTGGTTGCCTGGAGTGAGATACCACAGGAGGACATTGACCACCTGATCAGAAGCATGCCTAGGCGCGTTGGAGAATGCGTAGCACAACAGGGTGCATCCACACATTATTAAAGGTCAAAGGGCTTTAAAGCAGTGCAATCATTTTGAAATTTTCATCATTTACTTATTATGCTTCATTAAGTACTTATACAACATTTTATTAAAATAAAACCATTTAAACTGGGTGTTCGGATTTATATGTCACTTAGTATAATTTCATTTAAGTTGGCTTACATTGCTTACGACTAGGTAGCTCACTGTGTGTATTCCAAAATTATAAAAGTAGCTCAACACACGGAAAAGGTTGACGACCGCTGCCCTAAGGTGTCGAGATCGTAGAACAATTTACAAGTGGAGGATTTTTCCAGTTCTACTAAGGCAGTTCAAAAATCTGACTAACAAAGTTTCGTTAAGCTCATCATAGCAGCCGCAGTGCCCCGGTATTTAGGCGTCAGCCTGCGCGGCTGTTTCGGTATAAAAAACGTTGTCGTGTTCCCTTCACGTGGCTCCTCATCAATCTGCGTGCGCGTTAATTCCTCGCCGATCGGCGTGGGAAGTAAACGGCGGCCGGCGTATTTCGCATCGCGTTTTCGCTTTTCAAATATTTAAATTAATTCGGCTAGCCAGCAGAAAAGAGTGAAGGGAGGAGGAAGGGTCGCTTCGCCCATTAACGCGGCTGACACGAGAAACTACGTCGCGCCGACTTTGCCTTCAAGGTACACGTTGTTGTATACATTTCACATTGTTGTACCGGTAGCGGCACACGTAGGTACAACAGAGATACTCTCAAACTCACACATACTCGACGTCTAGACAGTTTTTTATAAATATGTAAACGGGACGCGCCACGCCACAACAGTCGCGGACAGCTCGGGACGCGCGAGGTGTCATCGGAGATTACAGGGGTCAACAGAAGAACGCGCTTTAGAGCTTATTTTACTCGAAAGATGGAAAGAAAAATCAAAGATGGAAATATTTCATTTGTCAGCATCCGAGAAATTTATTTATTTACTTATTTACGGTTTCCGATTACATACAAGGTTACTACTATACCAATGATGAAAAAGCCTTGTAGTTTCTGGAAGTCGCTCCAATGAAGCTAGGGGCAAAAATACGTTTTAGAGCATTGATTCCCAAAGTGGTCAATATCGACCCCTAGGGGTCTATGACAACCTGCAAGGGGTCTACGTCAGCGAAAAAAAATTTGGGGGACCATGAAATGAATATGGGGGTCCACGATAGTGGATCTCAACACATACACTGATAGTACCTATTTACTTACATCATACTATCTTATAATATCAAAACATATACATTATTTATAAAAGTACCTATGAAGTAATAAATTTATTATATAGATTTATAAAATTGTGTAAGTTGTAAGATGTTGGTATTCGCTTTGTGGTCGCAATACATTTTGAACTTGTAAAAACCTGAGAATCGCAGTCTCAGAGCTTCGCAACCTTGCACTGACTTGTTCAATTCGTCACTCTATAAATACGAATGTGGGACAAATACGTTTATTCGTTTCCTGAATCTTGAAAAGGAAAGTGCTAAGAAAATATTTTAAAAAATATAAACAGATAGTATATCACACAAATTATAGTGTGTCAGCGTTATTTTGTTTGAGAGTGCTGGAGAAAAGTAAGTACATTATTTTTTATTAAATTTTAGTTTTGTACTCGTAGTTAGCAAAGACAGATAAATTACGCCAATCATGACTTTAGTTATTAATAGTTAAATATTCAATCATGCAAAATTACACGAGTACTCCTCAATAGTTTCTTTTTGAAAGTTTTAGCAATCGGTAATATAATTACAGTGCAATCTCCGTAATTCGAGCTAATTGTTGCAAGAAGATGTTCGAATTATGGAATGTATTCGGAAAAATCAAAAAATATTTTTAATATACAGCTACTGGATTCTCTGTCTTATTTAAATAATTTAATTTTGCCCACAGATGACTGATGCCATGTCCGAATCTAAAAAGAAATGTAGACAGTACAGTGTTGATTATATGAAATTTGGCTTCATTCCATCATTGCCGGACAAACAGTCGCCTTTTATGCAACAAAGTTTTGGGCAATGACGCTATGAAACCATCTAAACTGCAAGACCATCTGAGAAGATGCCACCCTGATAAAACAGAGAAAGATTTGAAATACTTTCAAACACTCAAAGATAAATTTCAGAAGAGACCTACACTGGACAGAATGTTCGCTTCGACGTCACAAAGAAATGATGATGGTTTGCGGGCGTCTTACAATATCTCGTTACTTATAGCAAAATCCGGAAAACCGCATACTATCGGAGAGAAGTTAATTTTGCCAGCCGTTGAAGAGGTTTTAAAAACTGTTTTACACAAACCTGCATCTGATATCATTAAAAGAATTCCCTTAAGCAACAATACTGTTGAAAGACGTATTGATGAAATGAGTTCTGATATTGAAAGCTTCTTATGTAATTATTTGCAAACGACCCATTTCTCTATACAACTGGACGAGTCAACTTTACCTGATAATGCAGCATTATTATTGGCATATGTTCGTTTTATTATGAATCAAGAAATCTACGAAGAACTGCTCTTCGCAAGAACTTTGATAACCGACACTAAAGGTGAATCAATATTTCATGTTTTGAAGGATTACTTCATTGAAAAAGCAATTCCTTTATCAAATATAATATCAGTAGCTACAGATGGAGCACATGCCATGGTTGGACGTTATCGTGGATTTATAAGCTGTTTAAAACAAAATGTGTCAGGGGTGTTAGCAATACATTGCGGCATCCATCGACAACATTTAG